AACAATCAAACTGAAATGGCAGTCAGAAATACAAGGGAAAAGAGATAACGTAAATATAGAACAACCAGAAACCAAGAGATAAAATGGCAGTATCAAGCCCTCATATATCAATAATCACTCTACATGTAAATGAATTGAATTCCCTAATCAAAAGACACAGAGTGGCTGCATGGATTAAAAAACAAGACCCAACAACATGCTGCCTCCAGGAACCACATCTCAGCTCTAAAGACAAACATAGGCTCAGAGCAAAAGCATGGAAGACGATACTCCAAGACAATGGCAAGCAAAAGAAAGCAGGTGTTGCCATACTTATATCAGACAAAGCAGACTTCAAGATAAAAAAGACAATGCGAGACAAAAAGGGGCAGTATATAATGATAAAAGGGCATTCCACCAAAAGGACATAACACTTATGAATGTACATGCTCCTAACACAGGTGCACCAAAGTATATAAAGCAACTATTAACAGACCTGTCAGAGAAGTTGACAGCAACACAATAATAGTAGGGGACCTCAACACCCCATTTACATGAATGAATAGATCATCCAGATAGAAAGTCAACAAGGAAACAGTGGCCTTAAATGAAACACTAGATCAGATGGACTTAATAGAGATATATATAACTCTCCATCCCAAAACAGCAGAATACACATTCTTCTCAAGTGCACATGGAACATTCTCAAAGACAGATCATATGTTGGGAAACAAGGCAAGCCTAAATAAATTTAAGAAGACTGAAATCATATCAAGCACCTTTTCCAACCACAATGCTATGAAACTAGAAATCAACTAAAAGAAAAAAGCTGGGAAAGTCACAGATATGTGGAGACTAAACAACATGCTAATGAACAACCATTGGATCAATGAAGAAATCAAAGGAGAAATAAAAAAATATCTAGAAACAAATGAAAATGAAAACACAACATACCAACTCTTATGGGATGCAGCAAAAGCAGCACCAAGAGGGAAATTTATAGCAATACAGGCCTACATCAACAAAAAAGAAAAACCTCAAATAAGTAATCTTACACTACACCTAACAGAACTAGAAAAAGAAGAATATACAAAGCCCCAAGTCAGCAGAAGGAGGGAAATAATAAAAATTAGAGCAGAAATAAGTGAAATAAAGACTAAAAAAATAATAGAAAGGATCAATGAAATTGAGAGCTGGCTCTTTGAGAAGATAAACAAAACTGACAAACCTTTAACAGACTCACTAAGAAAAAAAGAGAGAAGGCTCAAATAAATAAAATTAAAAAGGAAAGAGGAGAAATTACAATGGACACCACAGAAATACAAAGGATTATAAGAGAATACTATGAAAAACTATATGCCAACAAACTGGATATCCTAGAAGAAATGGATAAATTCTTGGACTCATACAACCTGTCAAAACTGAATCAAGAAGAAATAGAGAACCTGAATAGACCAATCACAAGTA